GCTTCTTCTGCCATCGCATAGAAATAAATTATTTGTACAGCATATGACTTATATATTTTTAATTGTAACTCTTTCATCATCTAGCTACTTTGATATAACACAAACACATGCACATGCACATACACATACATATTCATATATCACCACTTGAAAGTAGTAATGAGAATATCAGAATTTAAGGCTATGTTTGGTGGGAATGAAAAATTGGATAGGGTGAAAATTTTTCTTTCCAATGACAAGGCTGCAACCATAAAAAGGCAAATTAATGGAGCAACATAACCAATTAAATCAAAAAAGAAAATCCGTCCTTTCAGTTTTACTTCTTACCATTACCGGTAACGTTATAGTATTCAACAGCAAGCTTGGGATGGGTGGCAGGACAGGTGGGCGGCAAGCATGAACAAATGCTTCTATAGTGCTGAAGTTTCTTTAGCCAATTGCAACTTCAAAACAAGACTATGGGAGGCAATGGCCGCCATCAGACCCCAAAAGAAAAAATGCACTAAAACTATTGGAAGCTGATGATCATGGGGTCTCATATATTCTATATATATGACGATGCATGTGCCACTGTGCCAGTACTTATGTTGCTTAATTGCTATATAAATATCAAGTCAGGTCAATAATTAATATATTGCCCTAATTTATACATTGCCATATTTTCCTCTTTACGTTTTTCTAAAATAAAGTGTTTTTCTCGTTTTCTTTTTACCTTTTCCTTATTACTCAGGAACAACATTTATTCCACCACTAATGACAGTTTGTTAATTATTTGCATTTTAGTAATTATCATTTATTATGTACATCAAAGCTCTTTTGAGTAACTGTTACTCATTAATTATTTACATTAAAGCATGTTCTTGAGTAACTATTTTTTTTTTGCCCTATGTATAAAACTTCGACAATTCATTTATGTCACATTTAGTTCTCGAAATAAATAAGAATAGAATAGAATAATTATTCTAAGGGAATAGAATAAGATAGAAATAGAATAAAATAGTTATTACGTAATTTAGTATGATGAATGAAAAAGAGCATGAATAGTTATTATGATTTATTGTAGTGTTTGGTTAGTAAAAATAACTTTGGAATAAAAATGACTAGAAGATAAAAAGATAAAAATACCTTTTATTAAATATATGACTATTTTGCTTTTATTTTTTATTTTTAAAATATTAATAATTTATAATTTATTTAAAACATTACTAATTGATAATTTAAATGTTAATATTTTATTGATAATTTAATCATTAGCATCATATAATATTAAGATTTTATTATAATTTAATTATTATTATGATTATTTTTTATTTCATTTTATCTTATAAATATTAATAATTTATAATTTATTACAAATAGTAATAATTGATAATTTAAAATATTAATAATTTAATTATTAATATTATAAAATATTAATGTTTTATTATAATTAAATATTATTATGATTATTTTTATTTTATTTTATTTTATTTTTTAAATATTTATAATTTATAATTTATTTAAAACATTAATAATTGA